AACTGATTTGACTAAAAGCTTCGATTTATCTACGGTATCTTCTTCAAAAAACCCCCTCATGAGAAGATTTGCTAACGATTACCTCAATAGCTCATTCGCATTAAGCGATATTGTTTTTTATTATCCTTTAGGATTAAAATGAAATACTTCATGGAATTTTTATCATATACATATATATGGAAGAATATAACGGCTTTTGGCTCAAACAGCAAGAAATTTCATTAAACAGTTGCTGGAAAAATGGAAATGAGAAAGATTGATTTAAGCTTGACTTCATTAATGAATTACATCCATCACTCCTAGTTACATGACCAGACAATGCTAACATGAAATTGAAATTATCCCACGGATCCTGGTACATCAAGAACCGATACACAGGGGCAGATTGACTGGTATACGATAAGAATGTACAAAAGAATGATCAAATAGTTATTCATGCGGATAAGGGAGGAGAGACGGTTGTAATGGACAGGAAACAGTAGACTGAAAAAATGGTAGGTATACTAAGCGACCGGAAAACTTATCCTATAATAATGAAGGATCCAGCAATTAAGATCAAATGGATACTGTAGAATAATAATAGGAAAATTGACAGATGGATGATGAAATCTTTAATAAAAAATAACGCAAGACCGCCGACAGTCTACTGACTACCAAAATACACAAGGAAGGAAATCCGCTAAGATTAATAGTAAAAAACAAGCATGAAGCAATAGACAAACTAGGGAAATTCATTTGCTTAACGCTCAAAACGCAAATGACAGGCTCTCGAATACCATTAGGAATTCATGTGAATTTTTTCAAAGGGTCCAGAACATTTGGCTGTTGGAGGCGTAACTGTTGGTTGGTTTCGATGTACAATCCATGCACACAAACATCTCAGATGAGAAGAATGTAAGCACCTTGCTGGAGATATTGGAGCGAGAAGAGGATATCCTGCAGGCAAAACGGATACGGAAGGAATCTTTAACACGAATAATCAACCTGACAGTAAGGACCACATATTTTACATTTAACTGCAGTATCTAAAAGCAAATATTTGGATTACCGATGGGATCTCTACTCTCACCTCTTTTGGCAAATGTGTGCATGAACAAGTTGGAAAGGGAATTCGAGAAGTTACCACTGCAACTAAGAGTGCTTATGCGATACTTGGATGACCACTTTGCACTTTGGTCGCATGGTAAGGAAAAATTAAAGTATTCATCAATTTCATTAACCAACTCGATGAAAGAATTAAATTCAAAATGGAGGTTGAGGAAGATAAAAGATTACCATTTCTGGATATTGAAGTCATGCCCTCCAACGGGATACTCACAAAGAGACTAGACAGGAAGGATTCATATGCCTGACCATAAGTGCAGACTGAAGATCGGAATACTGAGGAGTTTGATCATCAGAAGCTTACAACCAACTGACACTGAGACCTGGGACGGGGAGTTGGACAAACTGACACGGATTTGCCTTAGTTCTCGGTACCCCATAGAATTAATAAAAAAAAAAGGTAGAGGTTATTAAGGGCCGATTTCAACTCGGATTTCATGGAAATCAGATAAAGAATCAGGAGGACAACCAGAAGTGGATTCGCCTGTCCTGATCAGAACTAAGCCATCATTTGTGACCGTTACTAAGGAAATAAAATATCAAGGTTATAACAAAGGAGAAAACACTGAAAACCAGTCTGCTGACGTAACATGAGAAGACTGACAAACTGGATTGCTCGAGAGTTTATCTCATCAAATGCGGCAACTGTGAGCAGAAGTAAATAAGTGAAACTGCAAGAAATATTGGCATACGAATCAAAGAACGTTAAAGATCCTGTAAGAACAGTGATACCGAAATATCCGAAATAGCGGAACACATTGCACGAACGGGACATGAAATCGACTGGAAATAGACAGAACGGCTGGCTGCCTATGGTGAAAGTACGAGAAAACAGAAGATCCGATAGGCCATTTATATACTGAACAAAATAAATCTGATGAACAGGAGACTTGAAAAAGGCAGGAACAGCGAAAACTTTGCATATTGCAAGAACACATCAGCACTTATTTTGATTCAGGTTAGGTCACATATTTGTATTTACCCTCCCTTTCTGTTCTAAGCCAAAGTTAATGCTAAGACTAACTGCTGAAGCAAAGTAAGCATCAAGACATTTGTAAGATGTATATGAAGTATAAAAAGAATTTTTTAGATTTAAATTCTTCTATAAAGCAAAAATTTCAGAACTCTCTTTGAGCTATTAACTTGCTTCTTTACGATTTAAAACTTGTAAAACACACAATTCCTTACGCACCAAAAGTGAAATGAATTGATTTAATACTAATCACATTCATGATAGTCAGGCTCTCATATGACCGGCAGCACATTGTGGTACAGCTTTTTTGATGGTTTTTCTTGAGGAAAACATCTGCGATACCAGATATCTTAATTTTTTTTAACAGGATTCATTTCAGTTTCAGAATTTGCTTCTACAGCTATTTCATATTATTTGTACGAACCTTGAGATGTAAGAAAAAAATTGCAATTAGGCTATCTATTTTAAAATTTATTATAAAAAACCTTAGTACTAGAGTTACTATGCATTGTGTGTGCCTTATAGTTTGGAAACCAATAGCTATCACTCTAAAGTTTCTTAAAAATAGTTATACATATATCGATACATTAAAATAAATTAAACATTAAGATCCCTTCTAAAGAAATAATTTGGTTTCTATCCAAGGTGAATATCTATTCAAATTTATTACTTTGAACGATCTTTATATAAAATCTACCAAGAGGACCTATAAGCTTTAATCAAGTGAATAATAAAGAACAAAAAATCTGTTGTAAATGGAATAACTTTTATACGATGGTTAATTGATTATATGGGTACTATAAATCACGCTCATTTGTGGGCATGTTTTATATGATAAATAGCGCGCCGTATCACATTTGACTAATTGCTTCACACAAAGCGTCTAAATTAAAACCATTCCAAGTCATAATAACATATAAAATCTTTTTATCTGGTCTCTGGACATTTAAAAGAGCTATGTTTGCCTTAGTGACCACAGCTGCATTGAATTCACAGCATAGCTTATACTAAAAGGAAGTTAAATAGCCTAATTTCAGGAGATATTAAAGCAAATTTTGATATTCATTTTATATAGTGTATTCTCTTGGCATTCAAGTAAATTATAGAAAAATATTATATATGATTAAGCCATAGGCCAATATAATTGAATGGTCATAGTGGTTGAGTAGCAAAGGGTCGTTTGCTAAGGGCAAGAAAATTAGTTTCCCTTATAATTGAGTCATAATGCTTGTTTATAAGAGGCAAAATAGGATTGGTTGTACCAATTAACTATAAAAATGGATATAAGAGTTTCCTCAAAAGTACCCTCCTCTAAATAAAGAGTATTTTAATCTAAAAATTTACAGAAATTTTCTTTTAATAAGTTCTCATAAATATGTAGATATAGTTCAAAAGACGCCGACAAAGGCTGAAACTTCAGGCTTCATTAATTAAACTATTAATAGGTACTATTATAGCAGTCCTGGCTAGGTTACAGATAGTACTGCATTCAGTTTATCATTATAAACTTGAGTTAAAATCAACTTAATTGCAGGTTAAATTTTATTTTCTATATGAAACGTATCTCTTGGTCAAAATACTAGTTGAATTGAGTAATCTACGGAATGAGTTAGCAGAAAGGCCTAAGAACCCTAAACAGCTAAACATCAGGATCATTTGGATGAAGTCATAAAATAGAGAAGGTATTATTATCCTAGTTCAAATGCTAGCTGTTTATATTATAATAAATGGATAATAGTCTTGAAATAAGATAAAGGAGTAAGTGCCTTTAAGAAAAAATTAAATGCAGAGAAAAGATACCAGATAATTTGGAATTTTTATGTTGCGTATTAGACTTCTGTATTATATATGCTAATAGGGAATTAAATAAATAAATAAATAAATATATA